AGAGAACAGCCGCCTGTCCGTCTACCTGGGAGACCCTCTCCCCTTTTTAAGAAGGAAAGATGTCGAACGGGTATTCTGCAGACAAGAATTTCCAGTATCTCATCTCGTGCTTCCGGGCCAGGGTGAAAAGGTACATCCAGGTGGAGCCGGTCCTGGACTACCTGACCTTCGTGCCCGCCGAGCTGAAGGAGCAGATCCAGGCCGCCGCGGCCACGCAGGGGAACATCCGCGCGGCCGAGCTGCTGCTGAGCACCCTGGAGACGGGGGCCTGGCCCCCGGGCTGGGCCAGGCTGTTTGTGGAGGCTCTGCGGAGGGCGGGCAACCCCCTGGCCGCGCGCTACATGAACCCCGAGCTCACGGACCTGCCCTCGCCATCCTCCGAGAACGCCCACGATGAGTGTTTCCAGCTGCTGAACCTCCTGCAGCCCACTCTGGTGGACAAGCTTCTGGTCAGGGATGTCTTGGATAAGTGCCTGGAGGTGGGGCTGCTGACCACGGAAGACAGGAATCGGGTAGGTGTCAGTTCAGATGGAGGTGGGCCCTTAGCAACCTGCGGCCGGTCGTTTTATTTGCCCCATTCCAAATGTTCTTGGGCATCTTTGGGTCATTCTGGTTCCTTGAGAAGAGAATATCTAGGCGCTTAAAACAAAATTTTGAAAATCTAAACACAAAAAGGTGATTTTTTTTTCTAATTCGTTCACTGAAGTTAGCTGAAGAGTTCATTCTACAATAATAATGAGTGCTGATAGGTAACATTTATCGAACACTTACTATGTGCAGTTAGTATATTTTGCAGAATGTATTGTCAGAATTCACTCTCAGAATAATCCATTGAGGTGTATAACGCTATTAGTTCTATTTTACAGATGAGAAAACTGAGGGAGGTTAAGTAACTTGCCTAAGATGGTGGCAGAGCTAGTGATTTGGGGCCTGAGGGTGTGGAATTTTGTATTTTATTTAACATACTTCCATACAACAGGGATCAGCAAAACATGACCCATGGGCTAAATCTAGACTACTACTGGTTTTTGCCAGTCCCAAAAGCTAAGAATGGTTTTTAGATTTTAAATTTCCAGTGTTTATGAAGAAAGTTTTATTAGAACACAGCCATGCCCATTCATTTACATATTCTGTCTGCTCTTGCACCTCAGGAGCAGTTGGACAGAGAACATACAGCCCACAAAGCCTAAGTATTTCTTATCTGGACTTTAGAGAAAATATTTACCAATCTCTGGCCTGTGTTATACATTATGCCATTTAGTCTTGGTCTAAAAGGGGAAATTCCATATAACACACATACATGTTTTTCTGTAAAGTTTCAACGTTCTCTGAGAATCAAAACTTGGAGATAAGTCATTGAAAACTATGTCTCTAGTTGCAGTTTTTCATATTAGTGAAGAAGTAGTGGGTTTTCTAGGTGGCATTTTTTTTTTTTTTAATATATCTTTATTGGTTTCAGAGAGAGGAAAGGAGAGGGAGAGATAGAAACATCAATGATGAGAGAGTCATTGATCAGCTGCAGCCCGCAACTCGGGCATGTGCCCTGACCGGGAATCGAACCCCGATCGCCTGGATCCTAGGTCGATGCTCAACCGCTGAGCCACGCCCGGCCGGGCTCTAGGTGGCATTTTGACAGTGTAAATTCCACAAGTGAATTTACACTTAATGTAATGTTTCATTGTTCACGGTTTTCCAGTGAGTAAGGGTGTACCATGAAGTGTAGAAATGGTGACCTGTTTGAATCAGACGTATTTAGGGTCGTAGGTTCAAAAGTCTTATTTTGAAAGACAAGTAGGGAAATAAACCCATGACTGAAATCAAAGGTTTTGTCTAACATGCTATGAGTTTGACATTTTCTTTCATTCTTTCTTTTTGATGTATTAATTGTTTGTATCTTCATTACAAAGTTTGGGGCCTTGGACTCATATCAGCCTATGATGTGACTTAGTCTTTAGTCGCTACAGTTAATGCTCCTTTGTAGATTTGACAGCCATGGGGCCTGTCCAAAGACCTAAGCCTGCATCTAATGGTGATGGCTGGTTTTCCCAACAAGTAAATTACTTTACACTGTTGTCTGTAACGTTTGTGTAGTTTTGTGTATTGAGAACCAGCTAGAACGCATTATAGTAGTCCAGCTGGATATGACAAATGTGTACATCACTGTGGCAGAATCTTAATTTGGAAGACAGTATGCAGCCTTCAAGCCAGCTGGAGATGGAAGATGGCATTTCCAGCCACAGTAGCTGTTAGGAAGTCCAGAAGCAACAGAGTCCAGTAACACCACAAAGCTGTTTATGTTTGGTGGGTATGATGTCCCGATTGCCAGCGAAACAGCACTTCTCTTTATTTACTCTAAATACTTCTGCCTATCAGCATCACTTTTGTCTTGCCTGGATTGAATTTCCTCCAGCTAGATTTTATCCAAGTCCTTGGTTCTGGCAAGCTGGAGGCAGCTAACAGTAATGCAGGGAGTTGACACAAAGAAGATGTAGAGTAAAGGGACATTTGTGTACTGATAGCAGTTAAGGCCAAAGCAATCCAAACTCTCCCCCAGATTCCGGTTTCAAAGGAGGCACTGAAAGACGGAGGAGCCATGTATTCAAGGCTCTCTAAGGAGGAGTGGTGTCTCTGTGAGATTCTGGAGTGATTGGATACGCAACATTTTACATGTACCATCAGAATAAAAAGTAAGCCATGGTGGGCGATGGAACGATGTCCTAGGTTTAGAAGAATCTGTTGGTACCAAGGTCACTGAGGGATGCTTATTTTAAATGGCAAAGTGCAGCGGAAAAGCATGGACATTTGGAATAGAAAGACCTGGACTTATTATCTTTGTCTCTTATCATATGTGTTAATTTGGGCCAAGTTTTATAAGTTCCCTGATCCTAAGATTACCCATGAGAATTAATATCATAATAATTTATCGTCTCACAGAATTTTAGTGAGCACAAGATCATGATTATGAAAAAGCTACATAAAAAGTAAAAAGCTATTTTGCTATGACGATGGTGATGATGATGATGACTTTTATTACCATCCATGTGGCTACATTTCCTGAATTTAGTGTTTCAAGGATTTAGGTAAATCTCCCATGTTGAAATTGAGATCTTCTCCTTAAAGTTCCTGGATTAAACTGTGATTTGAAGGAGAAACTATATCTTTCATCGTTAAGCTCCCAGAACCTACCCAGGACTAAGTATAGGGCTGATACTTAATAAATATTGATTGATTAATATTTAAGTGATTGTTTAAATTTGTTTCCAAAGAGTTGTCTAGAATTAGAGATGCAAACACATGATATAATGAATCATGTCAGGCACTGGAGAATAGATGGATGATAAACATAAGAATTCAAAATTTGCTTTTTTGGACAGCTCAACTAATTAGTCAGGACTTCTAAAAAATCATATTTTATTTTAATTATTTTCCTGTTTTCCAGTAGACATTTTTCACTTGGTCTTTTAGTTTAGGGTTCCAATCTCCACATGCCAGTCCCTCCTCCCCATATATCACAGCTTCTGAAAATGATCCTAGATTGAATTTTGTGTCCAGTGATTACCCAAAGAAACTTATATAATTGATGTATTTATTCATTTATCTGGTTTAAATTTATAGAATGGCACAAAAGTGCCCACGATAATGAAAGGATTACTGAGTAACACAGATATTGTTTGTGCTTTCACGGAGCTTGTGCTGTAGTGTTGACCAGCATTCATTCTTCCAACAAATGGTTAAACAATGTCTAGCTTATGCCAGACACTATTGTGAATATTGGTGACTCAGCAATAAGTACAAGAGTCACTTTATGGATCATTATAATAGAATGATCGCTAACTGTAGGGAGTGCCCCTGTACTGATCGGCTTCTGTTTTAGGATGCTTATTGGAAATTTTGGCCCATTCATTGACTTAGACAGCCATGAACTCTGGAAAAGAAATGATCACATAAACATTTCCATAATGTCTTAATATCAGTCTGAACAGCTGAAGAGAGGTGCGTGTTTCAGCCCTGGCCAGTTCAAAGCATAAACATTTATAGTCCTGGAAGACCCCATGTAACTTTTGTTTGCATAGGGGAACCAGAGATGCTATGGTCAGTCCAGCCGGAAACCTAGTCCAGTTCTCCCTACATGAAGCCAAGTACTCTAGTCATCCCCCACCAGCTCCCTGTATTACTAAATTAGGATAGATAAAAATTTTATTAGCAGGAAAAAAAGTATTAATAAGAAACTAGCTATGTTAATATGACAATACATAATCATTGGTAAGACTTCGTGGGAAACTAGTTCTTAAAAATTCTTTGTTTTTAATGTGAGCTTTACTTCCTGATTTACTGGTACTGAGAGTTGAGCTCTTCTGTATTAAAAAAAAATTACCATTGTATTTAAATAGCTATCTAAGGTTATTACGAGGGAGAGAAAGCATTTTTATCAAACTGTACAATCGTGTTGGCAAATCAGTGCTTAATGGAAATATCATTGGTTTCTCCATTTCTGTTGGAAAGAAAAAACATAGATCAAAGAATTTAGAACATGAAAGCATTGAATTGCATTATTCACAAATTCATATTTATTTTATATTCTTTAAATTAGTTAACAATGTATTTGCAGACATTTTAATTTTCATATTCCGAGAAAAAGTTCAGTGAGGGAGGGACATGAGTGGAAATCATTCATTATATGTCCTGTTGCAGCTTCAAGTCTAAATATCTACCTCCCAAGAATTTCAGCAATCAAGTGTATGTATTGGAATCTAATATCTTTACTGTGTTTTAGGAGAGCAGATTAAGCTTAAAATGTTCTGTGTTTGCTTCAAAGGATATTGATGTATTTTCTAGCACCCAAAAGCTCAGAATCTTGATGAAGCTGAAAAATTGCACAGATATTATATGTCATTCCACATTCAAATAATAAAAATACTTATAGGAAAAAATAGCATAGGGATCCTTAAATGCCTGAACTCACTAAGGACAAAGCAAGGTCTATAAATGTAATTTTACAGTAAAAATCAACTAATTAATAAAGAAAATTTAATGGACATAGGTTTAGGTTTTTTAATAAAAGTATTTATTACAGTGCCTTATTCTGTTTAGAGAAATCCTTTCTGATTAAATTAGGTGATAATAATAAGGACATTACAAACATCATCTAAGACAAAGAATTTTTATTAGGTGATTAATGGAGTTAGAAAAAAAGGTAAGAAATGAGCAGGAATCTTCTTAGAAGATGTTGTGGGAGAGATGAACTGAAATCACCTAAAATTTATTAAGTTCAAGTAGCCATTTTAACCCTTCTTGCCAGAAAACAAACTTAAAATTAGGGACAATTTTTATTTATAATTATAGTATAGGAAGGCAGCATTGAAGTCAATTGCCAGGGATCAACTTCTACCTCTGTCATTTACTAGCTGTGTGTCCTGGGAGAGGTAACTGGACTTCTCTGCACCTCGGATTTTTGATCTGCAAAATGGGTTAATATTGTTACCTTCTTTAGGTTGCTGAGTTTATATATGCAAAGCCTTTATAGTAGAATTAACTATTAACTAATAGGACTGAAATATCCTTTGGGTAGAAGCCATACTGTACACTTATGTACTAAGTAGTGCTCGCTGATGAAGTGTTTGTAAAGGTAGATGTTTTCCCTAGTCATCCATAAAAATAGCTAACACTGAATTTGTGCCAGACATTGATCCAAAAAAGCAAATTCCTGACTTTAAAAACTTATGGCATATATTTATAGGGACTAGGAAATATAAAAATTTTGTAGGAAAACCTAATCTAGCTAAACAATCCAAATTACACATGTAGAAGATATGCAGATGTTGAAAAGGACCTTGAGAGTATCTAAGTCAGTATTTCTTATTGAAGCTGATGATTAGAATCATTAAATGTTTTAAAATGCTTTTTCTAGTTTCCCAGCATAGACAAAATAAATCAGAATTTTTGAGAGTATATCAGTATTCATTAAAGCTCCCCGGGTGATTCTTGTGCAGCAAGGAGGGAGAATGCCTGAAATTTCTTTTCAATTGCTTCATTTTACACATATAGAAACTGAGGCCCAGGGTGATATAGTAGCTTGCCTAATGGCACAGCAAGCTGATGATGTCCTGTCTAATTGTTTTCTGGTCTCGATGTATTAGTCCTTTCTCCAAATGTTTGGTGCTATATTAAGAACTGGGGAAAAGCACTGTGATAATGCTTGCACAAATGATCCACATTTAGAAAGATTTGCTTAGATTGATCTGAAAGGGAAACTCAGTGAAGGCTAAGGATTGCAATGAATGGATGTAGAAATAATTCTGCTCACTACTTTCAAAAGGGAATAGATACAGAAATAAACGTGCCTCATAATATTAAATAAACATCGACTTAAGAAAAATATTATGGTAATAAATATTGCAAATATTAAGTAAGCAAGAATATAAATCTGTGATAGTAATTGCTTCATAATGGTAATAGTGCAGAAACAGAAGTTGGATAAGAAACGTTTGATTTCCCATTTGCAGACTCCATGACTTAAAAGGAAAAACCAAGGCCCTAGATATACAGACAGAAATCGATGCAAATAGACATAAAATGGCTAGAGATTAAAGGCCCTTTCTTTTGCACCCCTTATTCAGAATGGCTGAGGTAAAACACGCATTGCTACAAGTGGCCCTGCTGTTTTCTTTAGTGTTTGAAATAAATCTTTATACTTATGCTTAATTGCTCAAGTTTTCTAAAGGCTAGTTCCTTTTGCAATTAGTTCAGAGGGTGTTTGATCTTCTTTAATTTTGCTTTCCTCTTAAAACAGATTTCTGCTGCGGAAAATAATGGAAATGAGGCAGGTGTTCGAGAGCTCCTGAGAAGGATTGTGCAGAAAGAAAACTGGTTTTCTGTGTTTGTGACTGTTTTGAGGGAAACGGAAAACGAAGCCCTGGCCCAGGAGTTAACAGGCTCCAGCGCCCCCGACAGCGGTGCAGGTATTTCTCGTTCTGTGCATTTTGCCCGGTTACTGAGAGCTTAACGAAGCTCGTAGACTCAAGGCCGAACACTAAGAGTTTTAGAATCAAAATTTCAAAACTGAAAGGGAGTTGAGAGATCATCTCTTTTATTTTCTTTACAAATGAGGAAACTGCTGCCTAGGAAAAGATTAACTTACAGAAAACCACAAAACTCAGCAAAATGGGTGAGAATATTGGCAACTGACTCATGTCCAACACCCTTTCTGCTACCCATCTTATTTTAGAAACGAGATGACTGCCTGAAATTTTTATCAAGCTATTTTAAACATTGAACAGACACAAACAAATAGGAAGAAAATGTTTTAATGGTTATTCAACTCTGCTGCATCGTCTCCTGGATATTTATATACATTTTAAAGGAATTTATTAAATATTTGATAAAAGGTCTGTAATAGCCAACATACTTCAATATCACTTCATGTGAGTTTTTAAAATCATTCAATTATAATAACAAAGGTAACATTTTATAGCCTTTCACACGTGTTATTTGTAAAGCTAGTTTAAATTGCCTTTTTTCTTTCAGAGTAGGTATCTTATGTTTTAAAAACTACCGTATGTAAAACAAGTTGAAAATTAATTGGTAGTAACTGATTTAAATGACTTAGAATCATTTCAAGCTCGCATCTACGCATTCAGGCATTCAGCCAGTCCTTCAACTACATTTCATGAGTGCCAAAGATGTGCCAGACACTGTGGTAGGGGCTGGGGATAGAGACTTAGAAGAGACATACAAATTCCCTACTCCCATACACCACACTTTCTAATGGTATAAGATACCCAGTAAACTATTTCCTAGGTTATCGATGCAAAATAAAAAGATAGTTACTAAATTATTAACAATATGTTATGTTTTTATATTATATTAATTAAATAGCTTAATTTTGCCCAGTGGTTTTAAGTACACACACAGATATACATATACATAAAGATGTATATATATCTATATCTATCCACATATATAATATATATATGTAGAGCGAGAAATAATATTTTTACTATGAGGTATAAAAAGTTCTAACATTTTGGGGTCAAGGTCTTTTACCTTCCCCCCAAAACAAATGCTTTGCAGTGTCATATGTTTGAGACCCCCCTAAAATTAGAATCTGAAGAGGCCTTGCAGCTGTCCCTTCTCTCTTCAGTTATTCAGGGATTGAGGAGTGGAGCCAGGGTGCTTGCTCAGTCAAACTTGGTCAGTCCAGCTTTCAAAATGCAGGTGGTAACTCCATGATCTGTCCACAAGCAGGTTCCAGGGTTTCTACTGTCATTGCTTCTGTCTCCACAGCAAAGCTTAACTGTATAAAAAGTCCTTCTCAGGCCTGGCCAGTGTGGCTCCCTTGGTTGAGCATCCTGCTGTGCACGTAGAGTCACAGGTTCGATTCCCGGTCAGGGCACTGCCTGGGTTTTGGGCCTGATCCCCACTAGGGGGCATACAAGAGGCAGCCAATCAATGTTTCTCTCTCCCCCTCTCTCTCTAGAATCAAGGGAAGCATATTTTAAAAGGAAGGAAAGGAGGGAGGGAGGGAGGG